CCATGGGCCAGTCGAGTCATTCGGGTAGGCCCGCAATCTGGAGCTTTTCTCAGCCTGCCCATTGACAGACTGAGACGACGAACCATGGATGACATCATCATTTTTCTGACATGAATGGTCATCCATGTCGTCTTCTGACAAAACATCCATTTTGTTCAACTAGTGGGAGCGCAAAACGCTCTCCCACTGAACGAACAGACACAATACACAGAAAACACTACAAACACAGAAATACAAATTGAAAATTTAACTAATGGGGGAGGAAACGAAACAAAAAAAAAACAAAAACTTATCTGATAATTCTCGCGTAACATTTGAAAAGGGCCTATGTCCAAAATGTAAACAATCCAGAAAATAAATTGTAAATTTTTCCGCCAGTATTTAATTCCTATATAAATAAATTGAAGTGGGGGTTGGTTGGAAATGCTAACATGAAGCTTTAGTGTGATGATTTATTAGCTAGAGAATGATCTTTAGAAGAGGGTAGGTGGATAGTTCCGTTAGAGTACGGCAGTATGAAAATTGAATAGAAGTTGAAAATGAGCGAAGGGCCATTAATGCGACAGTTTTTAAAGATCGACGCACATTTAGGTAGTGATGAAAACGTCGCTAGAACTATTCCACAGCCGCAGTCAGTTTATGAGCAAAAAGAGGAACGCACATTTTTGCCTGTGGACTTGGAGACATACTTCAAGTCGCGCGCGTACATCGTACGGGTTAGGCAAAAATGTGCGTCGATCTTTAAAAACTGTCGCATTAATGGCCCTTCGCTCATTTTCAACTTCTATTCAATTTTCATACTGCCGTACTCTAACGGAACTATCCACCTACCCTCTTCTAAAGATCATTCTCTAGCTAATAAATCATCACACTAAAGCTTCATGTTAGCATTTCCAACCAACTCTGAAAATAGTTAACTTCGCGTATGAAGTAACATAAAAACACTTTGAATATAAATTGAAGTATTTTAGGCATTTATATTGTTCGCAATAACAATAGTAACTATATCTCAGTACACAACATCCAAAACATGCGAAAAGTTTTCAAAAATACATGAAAATCGCTAAAAATTTAATATCACAGTAATAAGCCTTTTTGTGAATCTTTAAATGGTTAGGCCCTTTTTGTTAAACCGTTGTGCTTGTCATCATAAATTGTAGGCCTTTTGCTAAGCCTTTTCTTAACGTCAAATAAATCATCGGCCCTGCCTCAAGCAGTAGGGCCTAGCTTTGATTTGAAATTTTTCAATCATCGGCCCTTCTACGTCGCTAGGCTTATGAATGGAACCTCATCGAACGAAAAAAATATATGTTAGGCCCGAGGTTAGGCCGTTTTAGCATGAATGATTGGAAAAATTCCGTGGATCGGCCGTTTTTAAAATCAAGTTATTTTTAATGATTTTTATCGATATTGCGGAACATTCCTATACGACTGGTAGCTAATTACCAGTGATACAGAATGGTATCAAAAATCGGTTTGTTTACATTTTGATCATAGGCCCTATTCAAACGTTACGCGAGAATTCTATACTACTACCACCGAGCGTTATATGTGTAGGCGTTTACACAGATGGCTGGAAGAGACGCGCTGCGTGGATGACCTTCGTTGTGGTGCACTTGCTCGGTACTCAGCGCACACAGGCGCACGCTGATTGATGAACGATGTAGATGTAGAAACGGGTGCTCACACTCGATGATGATGATACGTGAGCGGGTATGCGTAAGCGCGTATGCGTGACCACGCAACGATGATGCCCAAATTGGTATGCGAATTACCAATAGCACGGATTAATCGTTCCGAAAATGACACTTTCTACTAAAAAAAACTCACTGTTCGATCAATTTACCGGGAACTATGCCAGGAGTCACTTATGGTGGTAAGCTCCAACCGGTATTATCCTCGGATTAAATCCCGATCAAGAATGTCCGGCTGGTTTGATGTCGACATCAGAGTTAATCAACATAATTCTGAGCAAACATTTTTCAGATCATACAAACAGGGACGGTATTAAAAGTTAATCCGAGTTGGAGCTTACCGCCATTAGTGAGAAAAAAAACTGATAATTTACACGCAGGCAAATGCATATAAGATTTTCATTAAAATACCTTTTGAAAATTAGCCACAAGAAATTTTCATGATGTTCAATGCGACACATTATGAAATCAAATTTCTTGGGCAAATCAATTCGTATGTATTTCTTAAGGATTTAATAATAAAATCATAATAATACATTTTAGTTCATAATGATGCATTAAGAATTTTGAAAATTGAAACATACAAACATACAATTATACATTATGAATTTTGTCACCAAGCGAATGAAAAACGTAATGCATAATTTCAAAATGTATACATCAGTTTAAGACATTTTCATTGAATTTTTATGTAATCCAGCATGCAAATCTATGAAAATTATATTTGTTCACAATGATATGAATCCTAAAAAAAAAATCAAAAGGCCGTTATCAATTTTGTAAACAATTACTACAATCGTAAATTTATCGATCCTGCTAGCGCATCTACGCTAAAAAAAACACCACCATTAGGTGGGGATAACTTTGCCCTAGTTTGATAGTGTGGTGTTAGTTTGCGTGGGTGAACTAGCAGTTTTGATAAATTGACGATTCTAGTCATTGTTTACAAAATTGTTATTGATCTTTTGATTAATTGCTCAATAAAATAGTTTTCGTTTCCAAAACAAATAATTCATTTATTTTTACATATTATTTACATTGAATAACTTACATCCTATCAAGTATACAAACTACTATTTGTGTCTTATTATAAATTAAAACTTATTTCAATTTTAATTTCTTTTATCAGTCTATCAGTTATATAATAATATCAAATTAAAAAATTGAAATTTCTCTATGTTTCCTTACAAAAAATCCTTGTTGATTCGAAATAAAAATTTATTGTTCACATCGTGAATACTAAATGCCGATCCAGCAACAGTATTGAGGTCGATTACACTCATAGAATTTCCTCGTTCTAAAGCTTCATGAGCTAAGTAGTGTTCCGAATAATTTCCAACACTCCAATTTCTACAAATAACGTAAAAACGACAGTCATGATTCACAACCTCTTCTATTTCATGTAGTTTCATTTCTCCATGATAATATGTTGCAACAAAGTGACCAGCTTTAAATTCACTTCCTTTAAAATTCACAGATTGTGCAAATTTGATCACTTCATCGAAGCCAAATGGACAATGTGAAGAAAGTTGTTCAAAATATGATCTCGAACTTATAACTTGGTCAGTGAAGCACTCATCGTTATCGGATTTGAAGAATATTTTATTGCGAAGAGCATGGCTGAATTGTAAACAAGTTTTGATACAAAGAGAATATGCAATATTGATACGTGATGATATAGCGTGAGCATATTCTTTTAAACTCTTATGCCTGGCCTCATTTCTAAAACACATCATTCGTTCAACTGGTCCACATTCTTTTATAATCTTTGGATAGTGTACTACAAAATGATGTTTAGGCTTTAGAGTTTCGTTAAATAATTGCATGTATGAAGAATGATGGAGCTGAATAAGTTCTTGCAAACGTGACAAATCTTGGTTCGAGAACGTTTTAGAAAGTATTAGTTCAACAAGCTTTATTAGCAACGTGCAATAATTCCATACAGGGTCATAACTGGGTACAAGAGGTCCTACTATGAATGTAAAATTAAAACAAAAAGCTTTCATCTCTGAAGAAGTTGTTCTCATGGTTACTATCTTACATTTACGTTTTTTATCAAATCCCTCCTCAATATTCGGCATTCGACGAAGAGCAGCATCGGATGATACTCTGCTTACAACTATTATACGCTTATTAAGTGTTGATAAAGTGAAATACTTTTTGACGTAGATAAAATGAGTGAGAGATGCCAAAAAACCATATTTACAGATTCCATTACTGAATAAATCATGCATTGGATCCACAGTAGGGTTCTCAATTACATGAAAAGACGGCAATTCGTTAAATGCCGACCGATCCAAAATCCCGGTTAAAGAATGTTTTCCAATAAGAACGTCTTGCTCGTAGTTCTGCCTGTTTCTTGCACACTCATTGTGCTCTTCAACATCAGTTTGCAATTGGAGTTTATGCCGTCGGCAGAACCGACAGTAATATGTCGCATTAAATCCACTAGATAGCATGAGTAAAGAATGGACACCAAGATTATCTCCTTGGAAGAGACTCAAAATGAATCGTATTCTGATAGGTCCAGAAGGTAAATTTATTATCAACCCTTCATGTTCTAGCTGTTTGAACGGTTTAATTACCTCACTAATGAGTCTGTTGACCCCTGCCTTATTAATGGTGACTTTTCGAATAATGCCCGCGACAAAAATATTACATAGCTTCGACTTGTATGCGTCCGGTACCGTCGGGAAGTTGTAATATATCCCACAAACAGAATCAGTCTTGTTGTGTGAACTCAACGGGTCATTTACTTCAAATTCGTCAGCGTACAGCCATATCGGGATGATGTAATTGTTGCTCATGTTCAAATCATTATCTTGACAGTATTTAACTTTTATATTCTTCCATACCACTCCATTAACGAAGTGCGATATAACTGTTGCTTGCTCAAATAACTCTGCATTTTCAATGGTCTTCTGTAATACGTTTTCCGTTTCAAAAAAGGACCGAATTTGGAATTCAATTGGGTTTAATACTAAACAGGATTTTCGTTCCTCAATCGCTGACGATTGTTTTATTTTGTTATCTTCTAGAACTAGAATCGTTGGTTTTTCAAATAGTCCTAATTGTTTCAATTGTCCGAAGAATTTGAAATCAGAATCAATGAATTCAAACGGGTTGTTAAACTGATTCAAATATTTGTTTATTTCAAACTGAATCTCAGGATTCTGAGTTTCAATTATGGACTCAAGTTTCCCTGCGACTGTCCCACAAAATTGTTGTGTAGCTTTTTGAATATTCCGAACATCTTGTCGGGTGATATTGGGTCTCTCATGAATCTTTAACGTGAATTCAATCGCTTCTTGCTGAATATGTAGTATGTTCTCTTCTAATCTACACGCTGTTACAGACGTGCCCTCTATTACAACATCTTCTTGTGTGTCCTTATCTTGATGTATGTCCTTATGGAATGATAAACATGGTAATTTCATAGGATTTGATGGTGATGATTGATCAAGTGTAGAACTGCATGACTCATTAAATTGATGGTTCCTTACGTGCCGTTTAAAACCGTAAATTTTGGAAAATATTTGCACGCACTCTGGATATGGACATTTGAACAAAAATTCAATTGGTGGTTTATGTTTCATTTCCAAGTGAGCTATGAAATCGTTTGCTGTTGAAAATTGCTCACAGCACTCAGCAAATGAGCACGTTACAAACATCGTGGATTATGTTCTTGTATGTAGCTGATCAACTTATTAATGCACAGGTATCCACGGTCAGTTTCAATGCCGTACAGGTATTTTTCAATGAACACCCAAACTAACTTAGATGTTTTAGAAAATGGCAAGCCCAAAACAAGATGTAGTTTGATGATGACGTCTATAGCCCGAGCCACGCTTGAAAAATCGTACACCAACGATTTGTAGACGACCATACAACCACCCTGAATCTTGCAAGAATTTTCACCGATGATCGCGAGCTTTGGACACAAAGGAAATTCTTGCTTGTCGTATACGTCATAAAGCTTTTGGACAGCAATTAATGCCTCTTCGCGGTTGGGAGCTACAACAAACGTATCTGATTGTGCAGTAGCCACCGTTGGTTTGAATCCCTTCGATGCCTTCACCGGAAGTAAAACCGTGTTTAATACCAGCAATACATTCAGCAGTCTAGAATCTAATGAACAAAAAATATTACAAATAGTTTCAATCTTATTTTAAAAATGTTATTTACCTGCAGAAAGGCTCAAATCATCAATCGCCCTAATCAAATCCTTCGCTGATGGATCTTTGGCTTGAATCTGTGCAAATTTGCTTATGCATTCGAAACAAGCGACCCAGTTTTTCACTATTTTGTTTGAGTCACCGAATGCCAGCAGGCGATAGTCTATGTCAAGCTGAAAATACAAAAAATATAATTGCTTTTGGTGACTAGTGTATGGTTCGCTCTAATCAGATACACAAAACCAGCAAATTTATTTGGATACGAAATAACAGTGGGTGGACTCTACCTCCCACCGCGCTATTCGATAATGAATTCAGTCTTAAATGTTGGCTCCGTGAAGCTACTGGGAATGAGTTTCGACAAATAAATAAACTTAAAATAATTGTTTTGTGTTTTATTTCTCAATAGCAAACACCTCCTTCCTCGTATCAGCTGTTGTTTGAGCACTCTCAATGCCCTCTGTGAGATTCGTAACGTCGATTCAAGTTCCTTTGGAATGCTAGTCGCTTTTACTTCTCTAGTATCTAGGTAACCAGAAGCTTCCACCAGGAAATAAGCCATGACCTTACCCATTTTAGCGCCCGGTAGGTCAGCTAGCTTTCGATTTGACTGGATATTCTTCGATCGGTGACTTCCTGTGCTACTGCTACTTTGATGTAGCCCGTGACATAGATCATGAAACATCGTTGTTTACCGGTGGTGGAAGTAATCGCTATTTCAAAACACTAAAAAAATATCAAACCAAAAATAATTAGTTTAGACTTGCCAGAATATGACCAGAAACATACCAATTGCCTGCTCTATTTAACTGAAAACTATATCCGTGGTCATCGTTTGCCAGTTGCGTAACGTGTAACAACCCGTTTTTTTTACTTCAGGAATGGCTCCGTTTCCGTCTCTGCGGGTCTCTGGCAGGGGTCCGTTTCTTGCGCTTTTCATTGAACTGGAATTTCAAAATTTTACTGTTCACTTATTATTCAATTATTGGATTATTCACTTACCTATATACAATGATTTTATACATTTAACAGGAGGTGATGAAAAAACATCTTCAATGTAGACATGTAAACAAAGATGATGCAGATAAATTGGTCACACGATCATTGAGTACATCCCAAAAATGAGTAAGATTTCACTCATGTCATAAAAACTATAGTCACTATATTCATAGTCTGGCGGAGACAATGACGGGAGTCAATTTGATCTGTCACTTGTGGGAGCCAATCGAGAAGGACTGTTTCTTTTCAGAACAATGTGGTGGAAGTATTACCAACAATCAATACGAAACTAACGATTTTAAATTGGCTCACCACTTTAGTAGCCTATTGGTCCCAAGCAAACGATTAACGTACCCTATTCTAGTTGAAATTCTATTACTACACTATGTTTGTTTTGATTCACTATGAAAGTTTGACAGATAACATCAGGGGTGTGTGGATTCATGCAGAACATGCAGGGGTGAGTGAAATAGCTTGGGACTGCTTGGGACCGTTGTTCTGGTACTGAGTGAGCCAAAAATAATAATGATTTTCTTCGGGACCCAGTGGTCTTAGAGTTACTTCTATGGTATTACCACAGACAAACAGACATAACACTCGTAAGTTGTTCATCGAACACGTATTTAAAGGTCAATTTAAAAGTTTCTTAGATGGTAGTACCGCCACCTGTGGCACGCTTAGTCAATTGCCTTGCGTTTGTCGTTTATACACTATCGCCATCTGTTAAGCACACTACTCATCACAGTGTACTCAACAGATGGTGGTAGTTTTTTAGCGACGATGTTTTACAGTGAAAAATATTCAATGTTTTATGTCTGTTTGTCTCGTGACGATAATTAAATCGAACAAAAATGGATTCATTTTAGGTGGTAATTTATCAATGTGCTTTATAATACTATTTTTAATTTTTTTCACGAATAACATCGACGTGGATAATGCGTACATGACAAATAATAAGAATAATGAGAGATTTTGTGTTTGGCGGATTGAGCGGTTTTGTTTTTTTTTTTCTTCTAATTTTAACACGAATTAGTAAAAATGGATACTGGTTGCTCTAGATTCATTAAACCGGAGCTAAATCGGTTGAAACCCATTTCCGAAATCATTTTCGCCGGAATTTGGGCCATAATTTTGCCGTATTTAGGAGCGTTTGATCCAGCGCGACTGCCCGTTTTTCATAGTCCCGGAAATTTGTGACTGAGTGGTTTTACTCAGTTTGATATTTCTCGTTTACTAGCTTTTTGCCAACTCTATGTATCGGACGAAAGTGAGTACGATCGACTCCCCCGGTGAGTAAGGTGAAGTTACCGTGTGAAAAATTGACAAGCATGAACAGGCTGATTTGACATCACGCCCCCCCAGGGATTCTCCATTTCGGTCGTACACGGTAACCGCAAAATACCCAATAATGACTACAAAGTAAGCATTTTCGAGGGAGACTGGGACTACCCATTAAATGAGTAAAAATATTACCCATTTATGAGTATTTGTTACTCAAAAATTAATTCATTACTACTTATTTTTGTAGTTGTAATTACTAATAAATGGTTAAAATTTTACTCATTTAATGGGTAGTCCCAGTTTCCCTCGAAAATGCTTACTTTGTAGTCATTATTGGGTATTTTGCGGTTACCGTGTAGTGCAAAGAGTGCAAATTGACCTTTCTGGCGTTTATAAAACCCACACTTGCGTAATCCCATTTTTAAGTGCGATGTTTGTTATCCTCACTTTCGCTCCAGCCAAAAATCAGTGCCTACATTTCAAAGGGGCGTAATTGCATTTGTAAACAATTGCTTTAGCCGTCGATTCCCCGCGAATAAAAGCTCACTCATGAAAATGAATGAAACCAACAGTTGGAGGAATATTTCATCTACCAGCTAGCATTGTTAATTTGGAGGGGTGATTTTTTATTTACTAGAAATCGAAGGCTAATAGTACGTTCAGACTACAGAGTTATAACATGTTATAGCGCTATCTTGATGGTGGTTTCTGTGTTGCAATTATTTGACAACCGTTATAACATGTTATAACTCTCCAGTCTGTACAGCGTTTAAAGCCATTGTTTACTAAATCAATTATGCCCCTTTTAAATGTTGGTTCGTTATTGTTATCCTCACTTTCGGACTATCAATACTTCAGCGCATAGAATGGACTATTCGAGACACAAAGCGGATCTTGCTCAAATAGTGAAAATCAGTGGAAATGTGTAGTACGGATTTTTACGGAAGCACCGAGACCCTCTCAAGCAGACGATACTCTCCGATGTCCAATTTTGGAGGTAAACCTATAGGGTAAATGACGGTTTCATCAAAACCTTTACCTTTTATCATCAGACCCCGGAGGGGGTAAAAAAAAGTTCTTCCGCGTTATATTTTAACAAAATTACTGCCTGACGATAAAAAGGTAAAGTTATTGCCAAAGTTTAACCTCAAAAATTGACTTTCTTTCCAGTTCCAGCAGTTTAAAAATGCTAGGTATATATGGCGGACTAAAAAACTATCACCATCATCAAGGAATCTATCTTCCAGCGCTGCACGCCGAAAACACCTCGATCCAATATAGACTGCACCATCTGAACAAAGTTCAAATAGTCCCTAGTTCCAGTAATTTCAGTAGTGCGAAGTAAATGTCAATATAAGTGATTGTTTTCTGTAGACATATGTCTCATATTTAAGCTAGGTCGACAAAAAAAAAAATACTTACCAACTGATATCCGCAACCTTCGGTTAATAGTTGCGGGTACTTGTTAATATAGGGTATACGTCCCTAACCTCGGTCTAATATGCAGCCATCGATTACGTTTTTAATCATAACTCATCAATGAATTTACCTGCAAACGATATTCTACTGCTAAATGGTATGCTTAGATATGCTTATCATGTCGTTTGCTATCAGAAACCACGAAAAGTTGAAAAACTTACTTTTTTTAAGACAATAACTCACGAGGGAAATGTATGTAATATGGGTCTATTGTCCCCAAATTGGGTCTATTTATGGATGCAACTTCGTCCTATCTTGTTTGATCCTCAAAAAAACGCTCTTGGTAACGTTTTCTGATGTATTTTTTTTTATCACTATCACTGTTAACTTAATGCTCTTCATTCCTCAAAACATTTCTTAGAGAAAATTTTACGAAAACTACATTAAATCACTCAATTTAAAAATTAAAAATTAAAAATTTCGCTTATCGTCTTTTGACCGCAGAATATCTAAATCAGAACATTGTGATGTTCATTATACAGGTTTGGCAGAAAAAATCTCCCTTCCTGTTCGTTCCTTATCATCCAAATGCAAAACAACATTGTTGACGTTACTCTTATTGCTATATGCTGTCAAATGAATTTCATGGGCCATAGTTAGGAACATAGAAAAGAAATGTGTCCCTAAAGTTGGGTCCATGTTTTACTTGTGAAAACGTTGTTAAACAATTAAAATAAACATAAAATATTCAAACAGCAACTGTAAGTTTTACGTCTAGTGTGTATTATCAGGAAATTCCAATCAATAAATGCCATAATCAGGCCATTTGATGATCGTCAGTCAACCTTCCCATCTTAACCTTATAAGTCATGGCGGCTAAAAACTCCGAACATTGTGATATTCTCAACCAGTTTTATTACTTACGAGAGCTGAAAATGTATTGAAATGTTGTGATATAAATTGATTTGTGTGTGGTACACATTTATCAACCATCAGTGATCAATATTTTCCTTATTTTTTGTGTAATATTCCTTAATTAATTATTTATTTGCGTGATAGGCCGAATGAAAGGACTAGACCCACATTACATACCGTAACCCTATTGCTCAGCCTTTGCAAATTGTCTCAAGCATTTCTGACGTCCAGGAAAACTTATCTCCCACTGATCAAGGACTGTTGTCCACGGAAATATGTTCACCTCCAGCCAGGATAATGCAGATATGACGTTCGGTTGAAGGATATTTTCGGATTCAACTGTTTCTGGTTGAAGATGATTTGCTTCCGAACGATCTCGCTGTCTCTCTGATTGTTTAATATAATTTATCCGATTAAACAGTTTTCCGCCTGGATTTGCTCGTCCCTTGCTTGGTATGTAATATATTTCCTGTAAAAAGATGTCATCGTGATGACCAACATGATCGTGAGGGTTAAATTTACAGTGGCATTAAAACAATGCTATATTACCTTTCCTTCTTTGACAAACAAAGTAACAATAACGTCGCTGTACTCGTTCAATACTTCGGCGGATGTTTTTCTGTCCTGAGTTAAGTGGTATCGAGCCACAGTGTCGACAACGAATTTTTTGCCAGCCGGCGACAGTTGTTGAATTTCAGCACACTTCAAAACTTGATTGCCGAATACGGATTCAGCAAGCAGGTGTTTTAAAACATTTGGAGTGAGATAGTGAAATTTACTCTAAAAAAATATTTTTAGGAAAAATTAAAAATATTAATTCATAATTTTCTAACAAACCTCTGCCAATGATCCCGTTGGGTTCTTAGCCTTTTTTATGCCAGAAATCTCGTTATTGTTCGCCTCACTGTTTGCACTGCTGCTTCCTTCACCACTTCCGTGCGCGTCGTACTGAATCTGCGTTTGAATCTAAGCATAATTAATTCTGTATTAATAAATACGTTTGCAGTTAAAAACCTTTAACGGAGAACTGTTTTGTTCGCTGCTATTTTCTTTGTCAGCTCCGTCTGCCTGCTGTACCTCCTCCTCCTCCAACGGAATTTCCCCTTCCGGTTGCTGCTCAGGCAGAATTAAATTATCGAGATGCTATAGCAAATATAAATTAATGTTAGTTAACGAAGATGTTGAGTAATGAAGAAAATAGATAACTTACGTTTCGCCGTCTCCAATCCAAAATCCAATGCCACAATTGGTCAGCTCCCCAAAAATTTGGAAACGGTTCAAGGCTGGTTTTAAAATACGTTTCGGTTACGGTTAGCAATCCTGTTGTGTTATAGCCGATTCCTATCGATTTGCTATGAAATATTAACAATCAAATTAATAAATATTGTATACTTACCGTTAAGAAATGTCAAACAATCGGCAGGAACTTGATTTAAGAAATCCTGCAGCAACGCTTGCTCTTCGATAACCACTTCCATCTTGAATTTTGGGTCTGAACGGTCTGAATTTTATAACGTTCCTTATGATTTTTTTCAAATATACACTCTTCCAAATTTCAAAAAGCGCATTATGAAATTCAAACCTGTGGCGCATGAATGGCTTATGTCCAAATAATGAAAACTGAGATGTTTTATATGAAACGCATAAGAGACGTATGAAAGATTTTTTTCCTTCATTTTTGAGTTTTCATAATGTTTGAATTTTGGTTTTCTTATGTTCATTTCCCTGCGTGTATATCAAGCGAATACCGAGAAAACTTCCAAAACAACGGAGCGCGAAACAAGTCGACCGTACTTCTTGCTAGGACGCAGTGAGATGACTACATATGATATTCTTTTTAAAATTGAAAGTTGTGTATTTTACCATGACAATCATGTCAATGCATTGGAGTTAAAACTTCATAGTGCTCTCACCAATAATTCCAGGTTAATAGTTTAACCATCAGTTGCGTTTAAAACCAGCACGTTTTTAAAGTTAACTTAACTGTGGAGTATGGTATATTTTAAAACAAGGGTCGTTTTTCTTGGTATAGAAAAATTAAAGTTTTTGATTTCGTTTTTATCATTAAATTCACGATTCATAATTTATCCTTTTTTTATTGAATTTGAAACTTATTTATTCAACTATGCTTAAATAATATGACGATTAATTGATTACCTAAAGAAATTCTTAAGTCTAATGTAACTGTCTCCCTGAACATTGTACATATGAATTGGAGGTCCATCAAATAGGTCTACATGGAGTATATGAAATAGTGACGTGCAGCTGTTCACTTTAAAGGATTCAAAGTGGGTTGAATATTCTTGGATCTGCCATTTTTGACATACAACATTTAAAGCATTGTTTGAGATTAGTAAATCTTTGATTTGATTTAGTTCTATGGCATTCATGTTTATGGTTGATTTTGTTAAAAATTGACCAACTCTATACTCTGTGCCTCTGTCGGTTACAGTCAACCCGGGAGCTATTTGACAACTCCAGTGTTATGTCAATGTACCCCGAAAATTCTGGTACTCTGGTTCTGTCAAATCGAATAATGGTGGAGTAAATTTACAATTGGTCTTATTTTTGATCAACTCTTTTTTGAACGTTCTTGAGTTTTTTTTTTGTAAAAATATTGATATTTTTTCTAATAGTTTTCCTATCGACTCAACTTGACGGTATCTGGAAATGTCTGTCAGTGTATGTGTGTGTGAGAGAACGTAACACATTTTTCTTAAACGTATTTCTCGGCAACCACTCTACCGAATTGAATGCAACAGCCACCAAATGAAAGGTACCATTATTCTATTAAAGGCTTAATAAACGGGTACCATACACTAACGACATCATAGATGGTACTACCATACCACATAAAGTAGCAGTGTTGGCAAAACCAGAAATCAATTGATATTTTTCCGCTCTCATGGGCTCGCAATATCACGCGTGATATTGGAACAAAATATCATGCTTGATATTGATTTTACAAGCTCCTTTGATATAGCGAGACTATTCACAACGTGCAAACATCAAGCTGAGGGTTGCCTCGACACAAAAATGATTCCATTGCACATCGTTTTCTTAGAAAGAGAAAGCATAGTTTGCTATCTCTTTTTAATCTTCACCGATGCCAGACGCGAAGGGACTGCTGCAAGCCGTTATGGAAGTTTCGGTTGCGTTCGGGTGTAAAGCAACAATTATTAAACTCAATCTCACCACAGTTTGGTGAGATTTGCAGTTGGTGAGTTTTGTTAGCTTGATATTCCGAGCTGTGATATCACAGCTTGCAAAATCAACTGCAGTTGTTTGCTTGTTGATTTTTGTCTACGAAAATCAAGCGTGATCTTGGGCGTTGGTGAGATTTGATATTTTGATATTTTCCCAACACTGTAAAGTAGGGATGATAACCCGAATTTATGGTTAGGCGCTTCGTATGGTTATTGTTTATGGTGGTGTTAATTAATTGATTTTCAATCGATCAACTGGTTCCGGAGATATGGACGGAACAAGACCCAAAAATCGCGGAATTCGGGAACTAAGTGTTGTTTTTCAGCAACCACATAACCGAATAAACGGAACAACCAGCAAATAAAAGGTATTATGGTCACATTGAATGCTGTTGATCAAATTTAGAATCGGTCAACTATTTCCGGAGATATGGGCATCCGATAAACATGGATTTTTTGAACTAAGTCGTATTTATCGGTAATAACTAATGTGAATTGCACGCAACAACCACCAAATGAAAAGTATCATGCTCCCATAGCCTTGCCCATAGAACATTATTGAACAGATTCAGAAACGGTCAACTGGTGCAGGAATTGTGTCAAGAACATATTTCAGGGCCATGATACTAAATTTGACCGGTAAAGAGTAAAACCTATCATGTGACAAAACAAATTACTTCAAAATATGACAACCAAATCAATGTTGGCCATTTCGAGCGCCGCGGACCACAATGGTCGGTTCCGGGCATGTCCCAGATGCCTTCGGGGAATTAACCAGACCAGACTTGAATTAAAACCCATCATGCCAAATAATGAATTTTGATTTCATAAAAGCGATTAAATTCCGAAAACAATGCAACATCAGTTATACTATACGTCTCACTCAAAATTTATTCCTGGCTTGCTTTCGACGTCCACATGAAGTGAAACAAAAACATGTTTTCTGATGTGAAAAAAGTTGTGCCTCCAACGATGGCTGACCCCATTGTTTACGTACAGTGGAGACATCTACAATTTGTAAGTGGGTACGTGAAACTAAGGTTTTCTGTCTAGATACTCGGGGGGTGGTTACAGTGCATGAAGCATTAAAGCTTGAAGTTAGTAGCTTACTTGTTAAATTTAACGATGAAAAATAAGGTAAATCTTTAAGCCTCAAGCTAACAGTATTTTCGTAAACTAAAGGGTCCTTGAAATGATTCAAATTTCGTATATTATGCATAAAAATTAAGTTAGCTTTCGTGTTTCTGTAATATTTCTTAAAATCTTGTTGGAATGCTTCAAAACGGAAACTCCATGTGTATCGCGTAGGGCCTATTTTTTAATTGTCTGAGGATAGTGAAGCAGTATATGGTACTTTGGTTTAAGATGTTCATCAAATATTTCTTTGTACAGCGTGCGGTGACAAATTATTTGTTCTTCTAAAGTACAGAGAAGTTCATCGTTAAATCTAGGATGCAAACTCAACCAACGATAATGTAACTATGGCATGACCAGACACTCCCAGGTAACTAGCTCAGTAGCATGAGACCCCTGAGCTGTGTCGCAGGGCCGACATGTTACTGGGTATTCGGAGGGGCTCCGCGGACAAAGTATGAAACACAGGAATATTCACATTTTATAACACATTTACTTGCCCTATTCTGTGGCGTGTATGCGAGGTTTTTAAAATTTGCACTGTACTCACTGCTGCAGCGGGATCTCCTACGGCGTCGCGATGCTGGCGTTGGCCCACACGGCTGCTCCTGCACTACCGTGTGGCCGGAAACTTGCGGCGCGGGCTGCAGACAGTGATGTTGCAGCTTTGGGAGAATGGCGGATCTGGTGGCGTTCATCAGCCACATACGGCTCAGCAGGCGTTGCTGGCTCATTTGGCTGTCAGGCGTCTTCCGTCGTTGACGGCATCGGCTGACCGTGCCATGACCACCTTGGTCGAGCCGAGACGGGACCCTCCTTGGTAATTAAGGCCACCGGCCTGAGGGAATCGTCCCTGACGGACGATCGAGGATCATTTACTATTAGGCTCGGAAGCCATCTTGACTTCCGAACCGAGCCGTGTAAAACCGTTTTGTTTACGGTACGAGGTGTACAAAATGTACAAAAGCACAAGAGGTCCTGAGAATTATCAAATTCAGTCAGGGAAATTTCCGTCAGGATAATAAAAATCAATTACCTGAACGGAGGTAGGCTTTCCAGCCCAAACCCCCACAAGGGGGGAGGGGGGGTGTATTAAATATGCACTACACTTCACGATACCGGTCTACACGGATGCCTGATTACTTCTGCCTAATCTTCCAAATCTAAGATGGCTAGCTATTCATCATCCAATTTGCGCATCCATTGTTATTTTAAAGCCAAGATATTCCTCCCTTCAGTAACGTTACGTTGTTGTTTGCAGTGGCACAAACCCCTCGCTCTTGTGTGTGTCTACTGTTTTAGGTTTAACAAAACGTGAATTTTCCAAACAACAACTACTCATGCAAACGAAAATCCACGGATTGTAACCAACTGGTTACAACAAAATTCAATACTTTATCATTTTCTGGTATTAATTCACAAAAAATTGAAGGAAAGTAATGCACAAAGAACATCATTTCTCTTGTTGTCATTTTAAAATTAGTTGATTTGATTTGTTCCTTAGTAATTGTTTTAAACGTATTCCTTTTGACGTAGAACTACGTCTTTGTCGACTATACTGGGGTGCAAATCAAAAAATATGTGTGGCGAAGAAATGTTAGGTTTTGAACGCTTGTAACTTTGGCATTTATATATGAAATTAAAATCGAATAATCAAGTGCATACATCTATACATCATCTAAGGAAGCAAAGATGTCCAATAAACGCTTAATATAAAACATTTGATGATCGAATAAAAGCTCTGTTACAACTCATGGAAGTCAAATAAAAGCTTCTCGACATGCCTTAACCAAACACCATGTTGTGGTTGAATAAATTCTCCAGATTTGTGTGAGCAAAGCCTGAACAGAAGTTATTATTAAAAATTGTACAAGTATTATAAAGCAGGCAGTCGAATAAAATCTTCAAGAAATCGTTTCTGACATCTCAATCAACATTTCAATAGCAACCAAAAATATCCATTTGTATTGTCCAGATGACGCATTGTTCTACGAAAAATTGAAGAACAAGAGTTTTTTATCGTTGGGCTCAATCTTCAGATCCAGAGCCCTTTCCCCTTTATAGTAAGCTATATGGCTTTGCATAATTTATAAGTGATGCATATGGCTGTATCTATAGAACGGACCGCAGCAACGACA